CGTGCATCAAGTATCAAGTTTCATATTTTATTCAATCGTTCAATGAGCATCCACGATTTAATTATAGGCTATCAATTTCTCACCGATAACTCTCGTACCCTCAACATACACATCTATAATTACGCATAACCTTCGAACATGCGCACCGCGATGTAAAGCATGTGTCAAAAATAATGAAGTCGTGCGATGAATTGAGCTGTGCAAATAAAAGAGGAGACCGTGCTGCAGAGGTTTATAGCTGGGAGAACACCTGATGTTTTTTAATGAACGTACGTCAGCCGCATTGAAGCAGATGACGACGTAAAAAAAGCTTGTTTGTGCGCGTGTATGGGAAGAATGGCACGATCGATTTTGGAACCGAGTGAAACTGGACTCTATTTGCGTTTGAGTGTGCTTTTGAAAAATAGCGAGGTCAAGAGTTAGTGTATTTGCACATTCACTTAGAGCTTGCAATTTGCACTTTGGAACTTGTTTAGTTAGGAACATTGCCAGATCGAGTATCTGAAATACTAAAGACAAAATCGATATTCCATGTAACTTTCTGATTAGGTAGAAAATCATACAAATAATAACGTGAACGATCCTCATGAAAGAGACATGCCGCTGCATGCGAGTTAATAAATAACTCATTTGCTTATGACATGGCTTCCAGTATTCATTGTCGAAGTTTATCTTTGGAAATGTGCAGCGAATTGACAGTCGGCACAAAAATCGTTAGTACCAAGTGTGTAAAATATTATTCGGTGTCTCTTTCTAAATGTTGATTAACATATAAAGTAAAAACTGATACGATGGACAATGGATGAACAATTGGGCAAAGAAAAAAATCGAAATATTAGTCAACTCGATGTCTTACACTAAACGAAAATTGTTCCAATTATTCCGAACGTTATAAGCTAGTTTTTAAAATTAATAACTTAGCACGTAATACGAGAATGAGACTTGAAAGACAAACACGCAAAATGGTCCGTAAATGGAAAAAAGAAGTACAACATAAAAAGTCGACTCGTCAAGCGCGTAATTGAAAAGAATGATGCATGCATGGGTACCGTGTCAACCCCCAGCGGTATGTATACATATTAAACTGCTTAGCATCCCGCGCGACCAATCGCAGAGTTCAATCGGAAAGATAACGCTCGACTTGGCCGCCTTTGCAAGCACATCAAAACATAAACACAGGAGCGAGGGTAGGAGGTGGCGATGCTGTAGGTTGGTAGGGCAAGTTGTGCGAGAAGTCCGGAGGGCGGCGCTTTGGCTGCAGCAGTAGCAGTCGCCGTAGGCTTCTACAGGCAGAGACAGGAGGATGACGTCACCATCGGCCGACTGCGTCACTGACGACGATGCCACGACGATCGATGCCAAGCGACCTTGCCGACTATGACCGGATCCTACTCTCGCTCTCCTCCTCTCTCTCTTTCTGCGTCCCAGCAGCGCTCGTAGGGGCGGTGGCTGTTTCTGCAACCTGGCAACCCTGCTTATATTTAGAACTCGCTCCAAGCACCGCAAATTCACACATATATATATGACGCTGAAAGAGAGAGAGAGAGAGATGCTGCTATTGCCGTACATATGGCTCGCTGTCGATGGAACATTTTTTTACTTCCATTTACTTTTTTATTTTCTCTTTTTCTTCACCTACTCTGATCGTGAGTTTGTTGACATTTCCGGTAAATATTGTAGGTTAAATAAGTTATAAACAAATGCTTGTTCGAAGAATGATTTTGACTAGGTCCTTTACGTATAGTACGAATATCATTCGTCCGTTTAGAAAATTATGTGTTATAATAATTTATATATCCTTTGCCATTCAGTATATTTTATTCAAGTCGGCATCAACCTTTATACCTACAGATAGCAGAGCTAATCAACGGCTCGCAAAGTTGTTGGCTACGCAGGTATGTATACATGTTTAAACAGTCATCTATGACTGTTTAAAAATACATATTTTTTTAGAAATTTGATCGCTAGTCGCACATTTGAATAATAATAACACAGTCAAAAATATTAATGTACTCATCGTCAAGGTTGAATTAATTTAACTCGTACATCTAATTATTCAGCCTGAGCGTTAATCGGATGCAATTACAGTGGATTAGAGGAGACAGATGTCGGGCTCAAGAGCATTATTGCCTAAACGTCCGTGTCTCAAAGGCATCACAAATCATCAGTGCGATCACTCGAAATTTAGCACGAAACTGGATCGCGAGCTCTGCCTCTTGTCTACAGTTGGCTAACGACTGCCTTGTCAATTATTTACATGATGTGTATATATAGCAGTACTGCCGCTCGCGGCTACACGTCGTTCGGTCTACAGAGGCCAATATCCTGGTTTACAGCCTCAGTTACAAACTAATCAAGGGTGTTCTGTATTTATACAACCGAGTTTAATAATCAAACCTTCGTTACTAGCGCTCAATAAAAAATCGCTCTCGTCACACGCAAGAAAAACATTTTGAAAGTTCAAACTTATATGCGAGTTTAGATTGATGCTGGCTGACTAAATTCGGATATTACTCACTTAATAAAATTTAGCTTGTTTCCAGTATTAATATCAATTTATTTAACTGAGATTTACTTATTCTTACTTTTTGTTCATTTTAGAAATGTTATACACTAATTTTATTCACCTCGTGAATGAAATTAGCACCTGTATTTAGGTGAGCAATGTTTATGTATAAATCATAAGCTTCTCGAATCACAATGAGAGTTTATCAAATAAAATTTAGATTGACAAGCGCAATGCGTGCAATGTCATTGCATGAGGTCTGTCCACATAATCGCGCGTGCAAATATCGCTCAAGCAATTTTCGTCGCTGCATGCGGCAATTTATCACTAGTTCAACGCAGCATGTATACGATCGTAAAATCAGTCAGCATGAATCATTCGATTCGCTTGACTAGTCAATCGGGACTATTCTTTTGCTTTTAGTGACATGTCGAATTGACGAGAGATTACTGAATTAATTAACACACAGATCGGAAACGATTCCCGTTTAGCTTTCTCTGTGTGTGAGAATGCGTATATTTGCATTCGACTACTGCAGATCAGAGAGCTCGGAAATATTGAATTACCGCGATTACCCGCCGAACCAATCTTAGCTTTCATCGCTCGCCTTTGCTCTATGATTTTTTTTATTCATATTAGTATAGAAGATGGTTGTGAAAAAAAGTAAACTCAAGCCCTGGTAGACTAAAGTATAAACTGCATCTGAATCCCAATGCCACGTGTCACGTACGGCTCTGATTGTTTTCACGTGTGTTAATTGACGGTGCGACTACCTGTAGGCTTATTCTATGTAATTAATATGCGCAGAAATATGTTAACGAAACGAGTATAGCTATATAATAGTGCGACAAAATGATAATTATCTGTGTCGCGCGCGCTTTTGAGAAAGCCAAGCAGCAGTGCGCGGCGGTGGTGATTAATGGGTTAGATCGGCACGCGATATCAACGATCGGAATGCCGATTGAGTTGCTAAATAGATTACAGCTCTGCGAGTTGTTACGCTATTACTATCGGCGCGTGCATGGATTATTACGATGATCAATGACTGATTAAGTTGGAAACGAAAACAGTCTTCACACTTCATACAAGGCTCATATCATTTTTGTGATATATAACGTTTGCGATAATAATATAGCTGACGTAATCGCAGCTCAAAGACGCGGCATTGATTAATGACCTCGGGAGGTTGTCAAATACGTTATCCAACGCACATGAAGCGCATGCACTGTATACAGGGAGAGAGAAAAATGTTTACTTATTTCAGAATTTTTGTTGTCCGCGCAATGATTGATTGCGATGGTCGTAGCATGGGATTTATTGATGTGCTGGGATTGAAAATAATCAAGGCAGAAGTATCACCTTGTCATGCGTGCTTCTACTTTCAAATCCTTTTAAAATAATACGCGTACAATGTTGAAGGTATAATAGATCAATATAATGATACTTGAATCGGTATATCTTACGTTTATTTACCTATAAGGAAGTTTTAGTTGCTTGAAAAAAAAAAGTTAAGAAAAAGATATTAAATCTGCTCATAATAAATATAAGCCGCATTTGGTTCTGTCAAGCTATGTTAATTTTTATTAAAAAATGTGAAAATATTTTAATGTAAACAAGAACATAAATTTTTGCTACACGTCAACGTGGCCGTATTTCAAAGCGATGTAGCAGCAAAGTTACAAGTACATCATTCGCGTAGCTAGAAGCTAATTTGGGCCAAACAACGGCCGTCGTCGCGAACACGACACGCATCGCATGATCATTTCACATCCATTGATGTAGTACGTGTTTCCCTATGACCGTGCCATGCTCGCAGCCAAAACTAATTGAGCAAGCATTGATAATGGTTTATGTCTTTATAGGGGGAGAGCAGTAACAGCAACTCTCGGAAATCTATGCTGTAGCTGCGATATGTTCGAAAATTTTTGCTGTTAATAATCCTCCGGTATAATTAAGGATATCCAACTGAAATTTCATTTTCTCGCTTACCTGCTACGTGTGAAAATTGAAACATTCATCGTTGTTTTTACACGTACTATATCGAACTTGAATGTTCTCGCTAATTTGAATTGATATCCACGCTCACACGAGTAAAATAAATAACGTTGGTCGATGAAAAATTAACATGGTTAATTAACGTGGATTAGTAACGTTTACTGTCAAAAGTAATTTACTTTCGTGATTAATGCGACAAACATTGTCGAACATTACGTGCTTTAATGTATTCGCGTTTTCGGATAATTAAAAATTACTATCGCAATAAAATAAAATTATATCAAGTTTTCCGTTGATAAAGAGATCATTAGATTGGTGTTTTTAGATATTTTCATTATCAAACATTTTGTTAAAGTAGAAAATAATATCCTTTTCAGTTTCAGTACAACATATAAAATATAATGCTCAAAATAAAACTGTCATATCATTTACATAATTGAATCGATGTTAAATCATCAAAAAGAAGTAAAGAAAAACAGCGTATTTAGAAGATGTTACACTGATTGTAAATACTTTATTACATTTAAGGCATAAAGAAGTAGGAAAATGTAGCATTTTTAGAATAGTATATCAGTTATTATTTACATTCAAATAAACGATTATGCTTACAACTTTTCGCATATTTCCGAAGACAATACCGTCTCGTTTTGATATCTGATCAATAGAGAGAGAATCACGCATATCTTTGACAATTACCAAATTAGTCTCCGGTTGCTCATTGGCAACGTGTACGTCAGAAGCCTATTTAATTTTAATTTTCTCTTAATTTCTCCACATCATAATTTTATGAAGTCACATATAATCGAATGCTTCTCTATTGAGACTCATTTGTTCGCAGTCCATCAGCGTACATTTTGCACACATTATTGGCACGAAATACATGCTGGCGTGCGTTTTGATCTATTGGCTTATTTTATTAAAGATCACGAGGTACAAACGCTTTTTAAACAGTCACGCAGCGTCTTTACTTTTTTTCTTGGCAGCACAAGTCAATTAAATTTCTTACAGAAAGTGTGAAAATATATGTATATGTAATGTGTTTTGCTTTTACAAATCATATTAAAGTTATTTTGATTTTATTTTCCTTTAATAAACTTCGCATTCATTATTAAATTTTATAGATCTCAAATTTAAAGAAAACGATGAAATTCACTCAGAAAAACAGATCTTTAATTATTATTCTGAAAGACATTTAGTAATGATTAAAAACATTTAGTGAAGAGACGTTAAAATAAATATCGTTATTTTATTGGTAACTTATTTCGAAATCATTTCAGTTAATGATGTAAATATTTTACATTTTTCTATAATGATAACAGCAGCTTTTTTACATCAGTCACCGTAACAGTGCTTTTAAAAGTATTCAAATGTTATGCAATTAAATCTAATTTTTTATTTTTCAACCTTAGGTTGAGATTTGAGATCTTATTTTATCATTCAGTGTCTTAATCTAGTATACATTATCTAATTTATTTTACTTTATTCATTATTTTAGATCGCTTGTATTATTTTGTTTTACCATTTTAACTACATTATGTGAATAGTATTTTTAGTCATTATAAGAAAGTATGGAGATATGATAGATTTAACTTGTGCAGGAATAGTTTCTTTCAACTAATCCTAATCTTGTTTTACGCTTTTGAGAAATATTTTCTACAACGTATGTACAAAAATGTCTGTATAAGTTTTCTTCTTTATCAAATTGATTCGTAAAATTTCGCAGTAACTGATTTGTCGCAGTCTTACATAAAATATTCCGAGTTAATACAATCCAATATTATTTTAGCTTGCTCTAATTCTGTTAGAGTTAAAAAGTGTAATTTTTGTTTGCGCTGCTGAAACGTAAAAATATAAACATGTTATAGCTCATTCAATTTTATATACACATAACATGTATATCATTCAATATTGAATAATACATATTTTTATAAGTAATCTATGGCAGTGGAATGTACTTAACAAATGCGTGTGTCGGTTTTGAGCTTATATTTATAGAATTGTCATCGAACAATGGCAGCATATAATCAATTCGTTATTTTAACATTCAAAACTATTTTCTTTCTAACTTTACGTTTAATACTTTATTGTTCGAAATACATTTCACTTTTCCTTTTATTTTTCTGAAAAATCTTACACTTAAAATTCCTTTTATTCTACATATCAAAGCGTAAGCTTGATACAGCGGAGTCGTTATAGAAATATAATGTTTCAAATGGATTTAAAATTCTGTTTTTAATCCCACAATTATCCTTTTACGTTGCTTAAGAGTCGTATTTCTCAATAGAATTGTTTATATATTATAAGCATTATAAATTTATTCAATTTTATAATGTTTTCAAATCAATGTTAGACTCCACTTTTTTATCAAAACTAGATGTAAACATCCACTTTTTCAAATACATTCATTATGAATTTTATTCCGAGTTTACTCAAATAAATTATTTGAGTTTGCAAGTTTATAATTCAAATCTGTATTTCTTATCCATTTTTTTAACTTTCCGATGTTTATTGAACGCCACATTATATTGAATATACTGATATTAAAAATACAATAAAATTTGATGATTAACAACTTTACTAATAGTCTAATAAATTGGAGACATCAGTATTTCGCTTGTGATATTTCAAAATATTATTTGGATCTTTATCATTGAATTAATGTAAACTTATACATCATTAAAATATAATTTATAATTACCTATATATCATTATATACTCTTATAGAAGATCAAATTAAATTAAAACATTACATTAGGAAAAGTAATATTTACAAATGGCAACATATATTTTATGTCAATGCGGAAATAAAAGATATAAAAAGCAATTTTCTAAAATGAATAGTTTTAAGTTTATTTTGATCAACTCATAACAATAATAAGAGATCATTAGTATCACAACTCATATCTCGAACGTAAATGCAGCTTTCATTCTGTCTATATGCCGGCGTTCAATATTAATAGTAAAAATGCTGAGTTATTTTAATGTTTATGTATGCTTACATTTAACATCCTTTCTAAAAATGTAATTCACTCATTTACACTGCTTATTTTATTACAATAAGATTTACATTTCAATAATAACTGTCACCATTACAAGTTTATCAACAGCTTCATTATAACTATCCACAGTTGAGTTTTTAGATGTGTCGAATTCCCTGATAGCATCTACATTGATCAGTTATGTCTTTGTATTGTATAAAAAACGTAAACAATCAATTCCTGTGCGTGAAATAATACCATGTAACTTTATTGTTTTTGAATGAACTTGATTTAGCATTAAGTAACTTTGAAAATAACAAATTTTTGATCTATCGTAAAAGAGTTGTGTCATTTTTACTTTGTCAAAAAACTTAAATACAGTAGTTTTTATCCTTGACAGTATTATATTATAACCTACGTATATTTATATATTGAAATTGTTAGAACGAGATCACTTTAATCACACTCATTATACAAAAGAAACAAACGGGCGGCTGTGCTGATTGATTAGATTTTCATGCACCTAACCCAGGACCATTATATTGTACGATTTCACTATTTTAGAGTCCATGACGTGCGATGAGTCTTTTTCACTTACACATAACATATTTACAATATACAAACTTTTCGGTAATGTCCATTTTTTATTATTTCTTCATAATAATATAGTTTCTAACATAAATTCTCCGAAGCACATCGATTGGCAAAGTCTTTTGATTATCTGAACATTTTTCCGCAAGCAAAGTTCAAAATATCTTTTTTAAATTCTATAACAGAATTTTTATACAAAATCTTATCAAATCAAAATTTGATGATTGATTTGATTATGATTCTTAAACATCTTTTGATTTTCAAGATGAGTGAAGTTTCAGTGATAAAGAACATAAAAAATCACATTTGCTTTGAAAAAATGATCAGTCTTTTGCAGTATCAGCTTTGGTATTGATATGAGTTCAAAGTTTTTGAGTCTTCTCCGAGATTAAAAAGATTGATTGTGACAGTATATTACTCTATGTTTTGTATAATCTATAATCAGTGATAGCTAAAGCATAGATCTGATTTACAATTAATTTCCTATAGTTTTCTTTATACCATTTATGTAGTTTAGTATTATTTTATTTTTAGTATTTTTTAGCAATATTTTACAATCAATTATTTTGAGTTATATTATTCTACTCGTTACATCCATTACATCAATAGAAAAATTATATGTACATCAGATCTATGAATGTTGTTTGCATTGTACAACAATTTATAATGATTATTGAATTTCAAAAATACTCCTTTCAACAAATGTATTCAACGTTCGATACTTTCATCTACCTCTTTACAAAAAAATATACATTTACATCATCCCTATACAGAGTATCAAATTGCTACATTAGGAATAGGATTGATTCCTTAAAAAACGGAAAAAACCATCATCTCGCGTAGTTGAACGAACCTGTGATAAACAAAGCTATCTAATTTACCACTCGAACGAAGACTCAAAAGATCGAAGCTCATAAAAAGGCGCCAAAGCGCAGAACACATGGTTCACGAGCCAGCAAACACATCGTCACTAAGTTCATCTTCTTCCCTCTCCCGTTTGCACCTCATCACAGGAGTATTCATTTGTGATGCCCTATCCGTGAGTGAGCTTTGATACTCCTCGGACTCGCGGATGGGCGTCATATGCTACGAAACCGCATCAGCTTCTTCGATTGCCTCTTGCTTGTCCTCCATTATTTGTTTCTTGTACCTCTCATAGGAACCAGGCGATGCAGGTGCCCAGGGTACGTTCACCTCCAACGTTGCTACACCAGTACGACCGCGTCCTCGTTGAATAACCTTTGGAGTTTTCGGTGGTGATTCGGCGAAAGTCACGCTGCGCCGTTGCGGTCGTCTTGGTGGAGGTGGAGGTGGTGGAGTCGGCACCGAAATTGCAGCTGGTGAGGGTTGAGAGGCTAACGATGGTGAGTAACTGCTCTCGGCTATTGGCTCGAGAGTGCTACTCGTACTGCATAGGGGGCTCCTTATACTTGAGTGTGAGTATTGCCGCAGTGGACTCGGTCGACTTCGACATTGCCAATCGCGTTCGCTGGTGCGTAATACTGCAATAAATCGAATGTTAGTTAGATGTGCTTGGTACTGATGGATGGCAATTGTGCATAGGTAGAGACTCGTGTACTTGTATGATTTAAAATGTTAGGAGGTGAGTGGGAATACGATGGTGTGTAGATTTAGAAAGGATTTCGTGGTCGGGTTGATTGTCGTTGTTTTTTAACATTTTTGTTATAATCTATGTGCTATATCTCAAAAAGTACGAAAGCTTTTATTAAAATGAACGCTGTTTAGACTATTTATTTGAAAAATGAATATTTATTAGAGGTTGCTATCAATTTGCTGTGCAAAGCGGAATTTTGATATATCTTTTTATACTATCTCGACATTGACAAATTTAAAAAAAGTGAAATGATTTGGTTAAGCATCACCTTTGAATTTATACATCATTAAGGGCGTAAGATGTCAATCTCACTAAAAACGTATCGTATGAACAAGATAAAAAGGTACACAAAATTAAAACTCTTGCAAATGCAAATATGCCTCACATGATTCATCGCTAAAACTACGTCGTACGTCATGCGCTTCAAGCCAATCGGAGCCTGTCTGATTGAAACTGGGATAAGATAGGGTTGCTAGAGAGATAGGAAAGAAAAATTTTAATTAGAAATCTGCCTAAGCACTGCAATTTTTGATCCAGTGCATGTCATTACTTTAATTCTTTACGGTAAAACGTATTAAGTAAAATGTATAGAATTAATTAAATTAAATTTATATTAGTAAAAATTGTTAATACTATTGATTCGAGCTCATGTACCTGCTATTTTTATTTCTAAAATTACTCTAAAGCTAGCACTTCGACATTTATATAATTTTATTATACGTTCTTATAGTAAACAGAATTCAGTCTTAAACTAAAAAAAACTAAATCTAATTGTAATGGTATATTGTTCACTTATCTTCTATATTTTATGTACTAATATTATAAAAAACTATTCTAAATAGAAAACTTGTAAAAAATATGATTATTCACGATGCATAAGACTGTTAATTACAATCAAAGTAAAAATGTATCAAAATTTAATGTAAAAGCAGAAGGATCTATTTTTATAACAAAATGCATACGCAAATAGAAGCAAGATAGTTAAAAAAAAGAAATTATATAATAGCAAAGGTTTCAAGGGGAAATACTCACTTATGGTCCCGGGCAAGGTGCATGCATCCTCCGTCTAACTTTGTAGTCCGTACCACTAAAGACAAGAAATAAGAAAATAAAAAGAAAACTATAACAGAAATGTCTACTTTCAACATCTGTTATAAGCGTAAAACTACATTTTAATTTTAAGCGATGATACACGAATGATAACTGCAAAGTGATAGAGATTAAGAAAATATAAGAAATGATAAAAAATTAATGGAAATAAATACATGGTATGATACACATATTCATTACAAAAGAAAATATGGTACATCTGATTTAGACGCACTATTCAGCTAGATGCACGTTATTCTGGTGAAGCTTCAAATGAAATGATAAAATGAGCATGAATGAACAAAACCGTTATAGCACTGACACAATTATTCGAGCATTTTGTAAATAATCAAGTTGTGTTGTTTTTTAGTCATTCGACATCTAATTTATAGTAATATACAGTTGAACATTTTCATTAGAAAATCGACAACCTAAAAAAAAACAATTTTTTTGAAAAATTACGATGATTTCTCAATATTTTGTAAATCGTTACACAACGCATAAAGAAGCTATGATTAGAGTGAAAATCAGTGCATTAGCGATTGCGTTCATTACGCAAAATTGGCTGTCGAGTCGCAGTATCTATGCTCCTCGTAACTGATTACCCCGCGCACACGTGGTGGTGTGTTTGCTTTATAGGTCGAGCGCCGCCACTCGACTTGGTGATTCACCTGTCGGCTCGTTTATCGAGTGGCGAGGGAACGAGGAGGAGCGACAAAGTTTACTCAGCTAACTGCATGCCAAGCATATGTAAGTCTATACACGTAGTTACAGGTGTGATTACATTCAATTAAGAGCTTCTTTTGCTCATCTTTCGTTTTTTTAACTTTTTGGTCGCGTCTTTTTTTTCTTGTGACGATGATGGTAATGATAATGATGATAAAGCATGATTGAACGCGTGTATAAGCGAACAATAACAATATAGTAATCATTTTTTAAACTTACCCGGCCGTTGTCGAAGTCTCGACCGCCACCGATTGTTAAGCGCGCCTTCGCCTTCATTGCGTCCGACAGCGGAATCTAGAACGTTAATTTCTTTTTTTACAGTTAGCTATTGCTTTACAAAGGTCGGGTTGTTGATATTGATTTTGTGTAGACAGAAGAAAACCATAAAATTTCATTTAATTTGGAAAAATTCAATGTGTTAGAGTTTTAATCATAATACTTTTTTTGAGTGAGAGTAAAGATTTTCAAACATTTAAAAATAATTGTACGGGAATAGAAGGTGATAGTCAAAATGTACACTGTGAACTACAAAAGATGAACTACTGGGGCAGAATAGTTCAATTGAAATTAAATGTGTTCCATCCGTGCTACAAACAACATACTGATGAACTTTCATTCCAATAAATTAATAGAAAAAGATAAAATAATTAATTGTGAAAATACTATGAATGGTGAGGGGGGTGAGAATACATTTCATCAGCATGTTGAAGATAAAGGTCGGAAACTTCAAGACTCACCTTCGCTCTAGTAGCTTCCGTGTGGGATTTGTAACAGAATTCCACAAGGGCAACAGCGAGGGCAAGTAGAAGACCACCTATTAGAATGTAGAAGATGCCAGCGACATTGCTCAGTGACAGCTCGTTCCTAGACGTGTCCTGCTTGTCGCCGTGCCTACATTCGGTACGTTCGTACCACCACTTGTTCATTAGTTTGGCTAGCTCGCCGCTTTCCTTCAGTGACAATACAACTAAGTTTATGTCATCTCTGTAAATGCAATTAAGAGTTGATTTATTTTATAGAAGAAATTAATAGTTTTACTGTAATTAATAGTTGAACTGTTAAATATGATAAATAAACTTTCAACAATACAAGCCTTTTCTCAATGCTTTGTACATTATATTTTATATACATTTTATATAATAATAAAAGGTGAAAAGATTAATGCAAAAACAAACAGTTTAAAACCAACGTCAAGCATTAACGTTGGGAAACGAAAAGAAGGAGAAGTAGCAGACAGAAAATAACTTAAAGAGAGAGAGAGAGAGAGAGAGAGAGAAAGAAAGAGCAGGCCGGAGGTTTAGCGCACGAGGCATACAGCATAAACATTTTATATGCTAAAGCTACGTGTGCTCGCGCTCGCCCTTAAACGACCTAGAAATAAAAATGCTAATTGTAAGAAACGACTCGTTAAAACTTGAAAGTAGCCGCTAAAGTAACGATCCGTGAAGATGCAGACGAGATTTTTTTTCCGCTACGCTTTAATTATGCACGCGATAATGAAGCTGTTTTCGCGGACTCATTTTGAGACTTGACGCGCTTCGGAATAGCGAAAATTAAGAAAGTTTGTCACGCGTTTGCTCAAATTATTGCAGTAAATAATAGAAATAAGCGCATTCCGGCCAAGCGCATTATAAATATTTATCAGCTAAACATCAACACAGCGAAAAAAAATAGTAGCCGTGTGAACTAAGAATTACCTGAGACTCGAGCCAAGTGGAGTAGCGATGCCAAATCCCTTGGCGTCGAGATTTCGGCCAACTTTCATTGTATCGCATGGTTCGCGTTCGTTAATGTAGTCATTTTTTGGACTTTCAATGAGCAAAGCATACTTTCCTTTGCTCATTCTCACTCGTTGAATTCCTTCGTCGTACGTCTCGACGAATACCTGTTTGTTCTCGTTCATAAATCGCCACATTTGTTTATAAAGTTCAATTTGCGATCTCTGTAACATGTAACAAGCGACACGACAACTTAAAGAAACGTAGGTTTAATTTGTGTCTGACGCGAGCAGAGTGGTATTATTTAATTCGACGCATGACTCGCAACTTTCATTTCCGTATTCAAAGAGACATGTTACATCTCACCCTAAAGAAATCCCAAGTGGATCCATGTGCTAACGTTCCATATTGAACTTCCGTTTGAGCGGCCAGATCCTCTGGCGAGTTGATGGGCGTCACCATGCGTTCGACGGTGAGAAACGCTGCCAAATTGGCAGTATATGATGAGATCAGAATTAGCGTGAAGAACCACCAGACACTTCCCACGATTCGACCGGACACTGACCTGTAAATTTCGGAAAATTTCTTTAACGATATAAATTTGTTCTAAATAGCAATATCCAACCGAAATTCAGCTACTCGGTAGCAAGTCTCACTTTGGAATTCATTTTGCGGGCGGCTCTTCCTCTCTCTCACGATTAATTTACATTTCGGGCCCAAGCGCTTGATTAATGGCTCAAATATTCGCACGCACGCGCGCGGTGTGCGCGACGATATGAATTGTAAATTTTCTCGTGGTGTATATCTCGTTCTTTCTTCTCCCCCGAAGAGCAACGTGCGATATAAGACATTTTATGCAAATATCCGTTATTAAATAGTAGAGGCTTCCCTGCACCGCGTTGCCGAATGTGATCGGATCATCGAGCATTGAACATCGAAGGAGAACAATTTAAGAGGCTCTCTTTTTTTCGATGGGTTTTTAAGGAGAGCTGTGAATTTTATTGAAACCTACTTTAATGTTCGGTGCATTCATTTTATTTCGGTACTTTGCATTTTACAACTTCACGTTTGACGAACGGACGCGTGATTTCTTTTTAATTTGTCGTCAAGTGGATTCACGTGCCTACTGATATTTTATTTTATTTTACGGCTACTGAAAATTATGAGAAATCCGATTGTGTTTACCGTGGCGAAATGTCGCAGCCTTGCTGCATGATGGCTCCGAGGGCAAACCACAAACTGTTAAGTATAGTGAAGTCGTTTGCCATACTTGTGTGCTGACCGTGCGGTGACCCATGAGAATGTTGCATCGTATCGTCTCGGGATACTAGACTTGCGTCTCTGCTTGGTCCTAACGTAAGTACCCGCCACTCGTACGGCGAGAATCTAAGTATAAATACGTTTTGTTGTTATAGCATTGAATTATAAATTGTGAAAAATTTCTTGATAACTCATTGAATTTAACAGAGATTACTCATTTGGCTTTAAAACCCGAACGGAGAAAGATATATTAGTTCGAATTGATTAAAAATTGGAAAAAAGAGTAATGAAGTCATTTTATTACCTAGAAACGATGAATAGGACGATTGATACGCCGATGTAGGAGAAGATGACGCAGACCCAGATCTCCTTGCTCAAGGGATTAAGAAAGCTGAAGACGCCTGGATTCTGCTTGACGGGCTTCTTAATCATGATGCTTATGCCCAGAGACATGAAGGGCTTACTGAAGTCAATTACTCTTTCACGCTCCGATGTGATCGTCATTGGCGCTATGGCTATATCTGCTTCCTGCGGGAGTTAAGGATTAAAGTGTAATTAGTTTGCGCATTTCACTCGTTTTCTTTTCTTCGAAGAGAACATATTTCCTCGTCAGCTTCGTAATCTACGATTATATAAACTTTGAGAACAATCACGTGTCTAATGTTACGTTTTTAATTTATATCATTGGTGACCCATTAGCCTTCAATTTTTTTTACTTAATTGTAAACTCAATAAATATGGTGAATAAGGTGAATTGTGTATAAATGAAATATCGAACAGAATATATGATTCGTCGAACACTGATAATTATGCAAAACAAACAAAATATCAACATAAAAAAATTTTTTTGAGTATAAAAAAAAAATTTCTCCATATCTAGTGTAGCAGAAGATAAAATCACCATTAGGTTCCGCGAGTAATCGACAGATGGAGCAAGCATCGATGAGTTCGTATAAGCTTGCAAGCTCGAGGCCTCTATCGCTAAAAATGTAAACTCGTCGAGTTCGCCTTGATAAAACAGCTTTTTTCCGTCTTTCGGCTAAGTCAGTCGCGACAATTTCTGGCTCGTCAATAATCGATTAAGAGGCGTTGTAGCTTTCACGTCTGATGCTAGCGCTCTTTTTTCTATCTATTTTTTCACCACTCCCCAATGCAAAAACCACCTATCGATAGTGCGGTTGCTCTGAGTGATTGCTTTTTTGTTATTTTCGATTGGACGATTTTGTATGTTATATGTATGCTGATATCTGTATTTTTTAAACGATCCGATTCTGTATTTGTATTTTAACAAAAATTATAATATTCAATCGTTTCTGAACCACACCCGACTACAAGTCAATTGAAATGTCGTTAACTTGCGATCCTCAACAATCGATGAAACTTCACCGTATAAAGTTGGAATATAAGAATAAGCAGATAAACTCTTTTTAGTTTTCCTTTTAAAAAAGTAGTTATCGGAATATTATTTATTAAATTAATTATAGATTTACACTAAATGAATTATTGAGTGAATTTAAAATATTTCCGTAGATCTAACCAGTGTAAAATTCAAATTAATTCGCATGAATATAACATCATGTCAACTGAATTTCTAGTTAATATTTCATTTGATTTATTTAAATATACCTGTTATCATGAATCAATTTTAAATGCAAATTTACTAGTCTACTTTAAACCGTTGCCTAGTAAATAATGTTCTAAATTACTAGTATCACATCATTATAAATTTATCCATTATGAATTGACGATATGAATTGAAAAAAATTATATCGCCATTATATTGTAAGAATTATACATTTCGAACATTATCGGCAAATTATTAATATTGTACGAACATTCAAATATTCTCAATCTACTGATTTGTTTAACACACAAGGCGTAATTTAATAAACTGAATTCACATACAATTGGATACATACATTGGATCTTAATTCGATGCAGCAGTAATTACAAATTAATTTAAATTTGCAAGCCTAATGACATTATTTGATTTATTATTATTAAAAAATGAATCTCACCTAATCTAATTAATAATATCTAGTATACACACTGAGCATCGTAGATGCGAAAATTATGGAATCACTTCGCATTTGGAACACAAAATCCTAAGTATCTAACACGATTCCCGGTGGTAAAGGGAGAAAAACACTAGGCTAAATCTTCGCCCCCACAGAGTTAATTCAAGAGAGCATTTCCCCTTAGAATTCCTCGGAACCCTCCGACCGTGAAAATACATATTTTTCCATTTTTACGATAACGCTCGTATTTTGAGGGAACTAGAGAGCATGTCTTCATTAATTTATGAAGATTGCCAAAGGGACAGCACGCATCATTGTTTCACGAGTGAATTACCTTTCTGATCAGCTCACCAACCATGCCATCCCAGCCCCCAGGCACCGCCGGATTTTCTGAGCCATATTTTCCGTCCTTCACGATTTGCAGGTCCCCTATAAAAAAACAACCATGAAAAATGATGCCGTCGTGTGTACATACATTATGTGTGTTTCGATATATTATTTAGTATTATTCGTGCGCATATGATTAGTTTTATTTTATAATGAGTTCTGATTTATGAATTTTAGGGATTTGAGAAAAACAAAAACAAAAGTAAGATCCAAATTTAGACATAAAAATTTAGAAAATTGTTCAAGCTTGAGAAATATTTGACTAGAATTAGCAGAATAAAATTTTTTAAATAGCTTACAGCTTATGTTTAATCTCTTCGTTATAAGTTCGGCAAGATCTCTGCAGTAACCTTCGTATCGATCTTTCACTTTGTCAGGAATCTTTCCGTTATCGAACCTTTTCTCCATTATGTAAGGTTCTTCCACAATAGTAGTTACAATATACGTACGATTTTTCATAATTTCAGGAATTCGATGACGATCACGTTTTGATGGTACCACTTGATAGCCGTATGATTCTCGCCATTCGGCGACCTAAAAGCATCCCGTACAACACGCGAATATTGCAAAATATAAAAAAGACCATTCACTCTAAGTACTTATTCAATAATGTTACCTTGACAGCTGCACTGTTTACTGTCATTTCAACGACATCAATCGTGTAGTTTTTACGTCGACCTGCTTCGTCAAATCTGATCTGACCAGTTAGTCCTTCTATCTCAACCTTAAAAAGAGCAAAAATTGGAAATGAAAGGCTCCTCGTTCACTTCACGTCGAAACCTATAGTTTTTGGCACTACGTTATCGTAAAAAATACCTTTCAAAGGTACTTATTTACTCAACGCTATATTTTTTATGGTAGTGTCATTTCACGTACGGTTAACATTTTATTAGGTTAAATCGATGAATTACGCGAGAAATAAAAGTACTGGAATTTGATGTGATACTTGAACTTTTACGTTTCGTTTCCTAGCGAGTAATCTTAGGAAACTATTCGCTGTCTTGGAAGGAAGTAGTTTATTTCAAGACATAAAAGAACACTCGTACACTTGTAATACAGTATAGTGATATAAATTAAACCTTCAGTATTTATAGGTTTATCGAAATGTAAAAAATGTCACCTACAATTCGCTTGTAATTTATCAATTATAAGTGAACGAAAACACTTCGATTTTTCATTATTTTTAGATCGATAAAATTTCAACTAAAAGTTTTTCATTAAACTTTCTTATCACATCCACATAAAATTGTCATCATCTTTCTCGCGAGCTTCCTAGAAAAATCACTTTTCAACAAGCTTCTCCTGAAACTCTTGGCCTAATACATAAAAAAAAAGTTTTCGATCTACATTTACCTACTGGAAGGTTATATACGCGTATTGACAAGACATTTCTGGCATCGACACCGCAACTTGGTCGTGGAAAAATTCGCCTAGAGCTTGGGAATTTCTTGAAGACGACGGGAAGAAGTCGCGCCAATTAGCGTCAACCGCAGACGTGTACTTTCAGCAAGACAAAAACTGAGGACGCCCTCGGGAACTATGGCACAATTTGCAGGTTTGCGAATGCGAAGGAAAAAATCATTTTCTTAGTAGCCACGACAAGAGAAAGTGCGATAGTAACGCTGCGCTCTGGGCTATTTCTACTTGTCAGGTGTGTTAAGTAGCTCGTCTGCTATACTAACGGCCTCTCCCTCGCCATGCAAACGCCAATGCTGCTAAGTAACATTTCTTTTGTCCGCGTATACTTCTTCACTCCCTTTTTTTTTACGGTTAGAATTCATGGAAATAAAATTGGTTGTCGCTCATCGCTATGACATTTTCTTTCAATGGATTAAAATATCACTAAACGTAATTGTTTTCTTCCGTTCCAGTACTGGTAGCGAATTTTATAAATGAAACGAATAGAAAAAGTTTCCGCGTTAAAGTCGTTCGAGTTTTAAAACTTTTACCTGACAAGAAATAGAAAATATCAAGTTCCTTTAAAGGGACCACCGACAAAGTTAGCCTGCTTTTTCCAATTAGAGATCGGGTCTAACAAAAAGGGAAGCAAAGGACGTCTGCAGCTCGCTCAGTCTCAATCGAATCAATTTCCGGACGTCGACCATATGTATGAAAGCTGCGCGTTGCATTGTTTTCCAGCGAAAATTCACAAATTGAAGCCAGGAAGCTATATACGTAGTTCCCTTTTTGTGCGCGCGCGTGAGCTTCGATTGAAAAGTTTTTCGCCGCCGTCGCCGCCGCTACCGTCGCCGCCGCCGCTGCCGGAAACTGAGAAATTTTTAGCCCGGCGACTGTACTGCTGCTGCTGCAAGAACGAAACAGCTTTGTCTGGAAGTTTTTCGCGACGAGTTTGTGAGAAATCAAATTTTGCCGGGGAAAGAAAGAGAAAGAAGGCAAGGCCCGAGCAATAGCTCAATCTTCCTGCATAAATCAGTACCCTTTCAGGAGTTGCCTGGCAGCAGCGCATACTCGCGCGTACCTGCCTTCATTTTATGGTGTATTGGCTGAAAATATATGCACACGATGTTTGCCTCAAGAAGAAAAGATCTTTCATCCCTTGCCGATAGGTGCGCCAAACAAAGATTGTATTGGAATTGAAGGTTCAATGATCTGAATATTAATTTCTTTAACTAATTTCACGAAGAAAAAAATTTAATAGTATTATGTTAGCTTCCCAATGAAAATGCAAATTATTTGACAGCGTAATAAGCAAATTTCCATCTTGCAAAACGAACACTGGACTCTAAGCTTCTCTCATGCTCCATTTTGAACTCGCTTATCTAAAGTCCATTGTCCCGCTAATATCCTACAACTATTCCGCACGTGTATATATATATATATATATGTGTGTGTGTATATATATATATATATGTGTGTATATATATACACACGTATACATATAGTAAGTCGATTTCCTTAATGACGAAATAACTTTACGTACGGTCGAGTGGGAAGGTTGAAACTATGCCGACTATACGTGTCTGGAAGATCGACTTACCTTGCGCACTGACTTGGCGATTTTGTCGCCCAACTCCCAGTGCGAGACCCAGGTGTTGTTGGAATTGCAATCTAGGGTAGGGTTCAGTGACTGGTTAGCGTTCTGCATTCCACCGATGCGACGCTGATTATTCTTGTTGGGCTTCTTACTTAAAAACTTGTTGAAGCCTTCTACTAGCACAAATACTGCGTCGTACATCAATGCTGCCTGTGCCTGTTTCATTTATTAACAAAAAAAGAATTAAAGTTTTTCTAGTTCATTTCTGTATGTTTCTTATGCATCTAATTTACATAGATAAATACATCTCACTAATGAGCAACGTTTTAAATCTCATGTACACTCTCTGCCAAAGCACACTCGACGATACACATAGAGAATGGCGAGTGAAACGGCGCTTTTAAAAAAAAACATGTCGCACATAAAAAGTTCAACCGTACACACAGACACTCAATGGACAGTTTATATCTCTTTAAAAGCGCCTCGCGGGCTTAAATTTTCATAGTCCATTCGGCTAAAAGATAAACTGTGTGTGTGTAATTGCCATGGAATACGCAGAATGTTCACTGCAGTCTGTGTTATATCGTCGTCGCTCTCGAGGATAACTGTCGTTTCTACTACTGATCACCATGGATGTATATTTCCGAATGGTTACAGCTCTCTACTGCCGGCGAAAGAGAGAGAGAGAGAGAGAGAGAGAGAGAGACGTTTGAATCCAATGGAATTTCCGCCGTTTCTACGTGGGCGCTCAGGTATTTTATTAGTGTGTCGTTGAGTTTACTTCGTGGGAGATGTGCACAGTTGTTGAACTTTAGTTTACTCCGACTTTTAACTTGATAGCTCGGCATATAAATGAATTGACCACATGATGAGATCAGTTCGATAACATTATTAATCAAGTTTGACATTGAACCCTTAAACAACACTAAGCAAATTCTAAGTATAATCCAATTTATTTTTAAACATGCTGGAAAAAGTTCGTAAGAGTGTCGTTTGTAAGAGTGTCATTTAAGGATTCATGCCTGAATGAGACATGATTACGTGAGCACTATGATATGCGGATTAAAGCAGCCCGAGATCACATAGTTATTCGTTACTCACGGAAATGGAGTCTCGAGAAGCACCACTGTAGACGTGGTGTCGCGTGGTGTCGACGATGCGGAACCCTGTGATGTTGATGGCACCGTACTCGATCACCTCGCTCTCCCAACGCTCGTCCATTATCTGATTAAGGTCCCAGTCCAGCGTCCAGACATATACGCATGTCAAAGCCAAAAGACAAAGTTCTCCCTGAGTGTTATGAGCTTTCGGATGGGAATGTGACAAGGTGAACTTTGAGGAGTGATAAGATGTTGTCTTCTTTTATTATTGTTGTTGTTTGTTGTTGTGCATGTCAAAGATTTCGCACGCTCTCGTACACAAGTTTCGTAAGATGTGAATAATAAGATATGGAAAATATACCAAAGTTTTACGCGGTAGTCAAAGTTTGACATACGAGTCCAGGATCGTCAGTAAAATGTAAGTTATTTGCTGATTGTCTACTTTCTGTTGTTCATTGTATATATTATTATTGTATATATGTGTTGGTTCGAAAGTTTGTTTCGGGTATCCTTATTTTAAGTTTTATCTTATATTAAATAATCACTGGTTATTACGAAAGTTAAATAAACGGAGAAGCTCCCGTTCTTTGTTGTGGTCCATGTTTATTCATATATGTGTGTGTGTGTGTGGTCGCGCGTGCAGGCGCGCGTGACAGGACCGTGGTAGCGTGTCTATTCTGCTTCGGTGAACTTTGGCAGGCAGAGGTGTTATTGTTATAATAGATATATTTAAATGATGTGAATCGACGAGTTAGTCATGTCTGCATCATCGGTCCTACTTTTTTTTATTTCATTCTTTCATGTTCTATTATTTTTTTTTCTTTCCATGATTGTACGAGCGTGGACGAACGCTACCTTGCGATTAAATTTTTTGCATATACGCATTGCGACGGGCTAAGCCGATTAGCGTCAATTATAAAAAGAGGAGGAAAATCTCTTTCTTCATGACTTATATCGTTACGACTCGCGTATGCTCGTCTGATTCTTTAAGTATACTTTGTTAAGATTAAAATCTTTTTTTTTTTTTTTTTTTCATATTTTTCTTTCTGTATTGAAGTCAATTGTGAAATTTCAAGTGAATAGTTAAGGTAACGAATTTAAGTTTTACGATTTATTAGAGTGCTAAAAATTTGTTATAGGATTTTATTAAATATGAGAATTGAAAATATGCAATGTAGAGAAACAAAGAAAATGAATGAATGCTTTGAATAAATGTTATCGAGTTAATTTCTACAAAGAAACATTTGGAAAAAACTTGAAAGTTACATCATGTATTCTTCAATTTTGTTACTCGCTGCGTTTGATTACACGCTACAGTTATTTTTTCAACTTATTTTCATAGACGAGAAGAGATAAAAATATAAAACGACGCACGGTGCTGCACAAAGCGTAAATTTCCATCCCTTTAAATACAATTCACATCAGTTCAACGGCAAGCGCGTTGCGCTTTTTTAATTAAAACGGAAGCAAGAAGGCAGTGAGCGTTTTTCCAGTGCGCGAATCTCGTCATCGCAGTATGCAACGAAAAAAGAGAGGAAATTTTCCATGCGCGGAAGTGATGCTGAAAAAGTTAATTATCGCAGTAACGAGAGAGCAAATGTTGCCAAGTGACAATGTTTAACCAATTTAGCAAAGATAGTTTATACTAGTTAACACGTGATGATGGTAATTAGGAACATTTATTAGGGTATTAGGTTAGCAATTGAAAGAAAGAATCTTACAAGTCCACTGAGAAGATAATGGTACGTTCGACGTCCAAGTGTAACATCTCTTACATGGCTGACTACTATCTCTTTCGCCATTTCAGTCGGGCAGTCTAACACAATGTATTTATTACTCCACCTGGAATAAAAAATTTTTTAATACAAAATCCCACACCTACAAAAATATCAATCTCCAATTCGACGATTTCCCGATAAAAAAGCAGTCTTTTGAATCGGTCTAAACCAAGTAAAAAATCAATATACCTCAGTAGAGAATATTGGAGCCTAACTCAGAGAGCAGCAATATAGCGTTCAATTGATGTACCATGGATGGAAATCAACTGATATATGTATGCGAGTGTAAACAGTGACCTCAGTTACGATGGTAATCACTAACCGGTATTATCGATAGGCCGGTCGATACCGCGAGCGAGAGAGAGAGAGAGAGAGAGAGAGAGAGAGAGAGAGAGAGAGAAATGCATCGACTCATCGCTGATTAGCCGTGCAGCATTCGCAACGCGATGAATCTCCACTTCAAGCGCATAAACGTGTTTGCAGGCATATATATAGCTTATGTACTTCGGTTGAGAGGTAGCATCCCTCCCTCCCTATCTACCTTCTCAGATGATGAATGAAAAGCAGTAATTTTATGAACCACCACGCTTTTGTTGCGCTCGTTATACTTGAGATCACGTATTTTGTTTCAGTGAATGTAGATCGCATTTTTAAATTTGATTTTGCTTGTATATTTCCTCGAGTTATGTTAGACTTAGAAAGAAAAGCACATAACTATCAACCGAAAATGTTACGTCGTGTCTTTTATACTAAAAACAAAATAAAAAAACTAATATTACTGTCACGCTACGTTTTTATGTTTTTGTTAATATACAAGTAAGACAGAAAATAAACAAAACTAATGTTTGGTAAAGATTAAAATAAAAATTGTCAACTCACCGATTCAGCTCTTCAACGCTTCGCAGAAAATCCATAGCTTCCGTCACATTTTGTATCCTTTTAACAGATTCAACTTGAAAGGTGTCATTTCCGGGCTTCAAACTTTGATAAATTTGCTGCAGTCGTAGAAGTC